CCAAAATAATCTCTAGTAATGTCGATATAGTAGTGTGAACACAAACCCTAATCTGGTTTCCAAGTTTGCAACTTAAAAAAAATTTTATCGTTTGTACTTCCAAAAAGTAAGTATATTAATTAAAATGTTTTCAACTACTTTTTATCGGACCTCTCGACCAGGCTTTAATCTTTTACGTTATAAAATAACGCAACCTCACTTGACTTCTTCTAATCTCCGCTATCCGGCTCTTAGTTTTATTAACTCTAGTTCTACTCGCTGTAAAGTTACTGCTAAAAATTCTCACCATCCAACCCTCACTTCTCCACCTTCACATAGCGATTTATTTCTTCAAGGCAGTGCGGCAAGTTACATTGAAGAATTGTATGAAGCATGGCAAAAAGATCCTACCTCAGTTCATTTGTCCTGGCAGGTGTACTTTAAAAATATCCATGCTGGCATGAATCCTCGTCAAGCTTATCAACCACCTCCAACAATTGTACCAGCTGGAATAGCCGCTCCCGTTTCGCCAGGAAATTATGGAGTAAATGATCATATGAAGGTACAACTTTTAGTAAGAGCTTATCAAGTTCGTGGGCATCATCTTGCAAAATTAGATCCTCTAGGCATTATGGATGCTGACTCTACGTTTCCAAAAGAACTTGATCCAAGTCATTATGGCTTTACTGAAGAAGATCTTAATAGGCAATTTTCATTGGGACCTGGAATCTTAACACAATTTTCTAAATTTTCTCGAGAAAAAAAGACACTTAAAGAGATTGTTGAATATTGTAACCGGATTTATTGTACGTATAAATAATAGAATTGATCCACATGATCTTTAGAGCTGGATTGTGATTATTTATTTAATTCTTAAGTAATGTTATTCCTAGAGTATTGAAACGTTTAGTATTAAAATTTTATAAAGAAATTCAAAAAAAAAATTTTTTTTTCTTATTAAAATTTGAAGGCTCAAAAAAATTTAATCTATTTAATATTTTATAAATCGGGTCTTTTTTTTTTGAATTTCTTTATAAATATTTAGCCCTACGCGTTTTTTTTTCAATATCCAGGAAACAACTTAAAATTCAAATAATAACTTGGTTCGAAAGATCATGAGGTTAAGAATTATCAGACGCAAAGATGCGTCTGAGGTACAATATAGATAATACAACATAACAATTTAGTTTGAAAAATTACTGATGGAAAACTCTCTGATCAGGTGGTCCGATTGGTATTGAATATGTCCATATTCCTTATCGATATCAATGTGATTGGATTCGTTCTCGAGTAGAAGTTCCGGTAGCATATAATTATACGACAGAAGAAAAACGCATGATTCTTGATAGATTAATATGGTCTCATTCATTCGAAAAATTTGTAGCTACAAAATATCCAACTGAAAAAAGATTTGGTTTAGAAGGATGTGAAAGTTTAATTCCTGGCATGAAAGCTTTGGTATATAAAATTAATTGCGATTATTAAAAATACATATTATTTATTTATTTATTTATTTTGGTAAATTTCACAATTGTTAGATTGACAAATCTGTTGATCTTGGAATAGAGTCAATAGTACTTGGAATGGCTCACCGTGGTCGACTGAATGTACTTAGTAATGTAGTCCGAAAACCTAATGAATCTATATTTTGTGAATTTGGTGGGTCTGCGAATTCCGCCGATGAAGGTTCTGGTGATGTCAAATATCACTTGGGCATGAATTATGACAGACCAACTCCATCAGGGAGACGTGTGCACCTTTCCCTTGCTGCTAATCCATCCCATCTAGAAGCTGTGAATCCTGTTGTATTGGGTAAAGTTCGTGCACTTCAACATTACACAGGTGACGAAAAAGAACGACATCGTTCTATGGCATTGTTACTTCATGGTGATGCATCATTTGCGGCACAGGGTGTAGTATATGAAACAATGGGCTTCCAAGATCTACCATACTATACAACTGGGGGTACGATTCATATAGTTATAAACAATCAGATCGGGTTTACTACTGATCCTCGATTTGCTCGTTCAACGCCATATTGTACTGATATAGCAAAGGTGGTCAGTGCTCCTATCTTTCATGTGAATGGAGATGATGTTGAGGCAGTAACTTTTGTGTGTCAATTGGCATCTGAATGGAGACAAACTTTCAAAAAGGATGTTGTTATAGATTTAGTCTGCTATCGTAAACACGGTCATAATGAAGTTGATATGCCTAGTTTTACGCAGCCAAGAATGTATAAACAAATTGCTAAAAAAACCACTACACTTGACATTTATGTAGAAAAACTTTTAAATGAGGGCACATTCACGAAGGGTGAAATTGATAAAAATAAAAAGTGGGTATGGGATACATTAGAAGAAAGCTATAGCAAGAGCAAAGATTATAAACCAACTAGTCGCGAATGGCTTTCTAGTTCTTGGCACGGTATTATAATTTATTATTGCTATTGATGTCAACCAAAATCAAATACTTACTTTTTCTAACATTGATTTAATGAAAAGGGTTTAAATCACCTAAAGAAATTGCCGAAAAAATTACTCCTATTTATTCAACTGGTTCCTCTCTTGAATCACTTAAACATGTTGGTGATGTTATTAGTTCTTATCCAAAAAAATTCAATATACACCCTGGTGTTGAGAGAATATTTAAAGCTCGTGCTAAGTCTATAGAAGATGGTGAAAATATCGATTGGCCCACTGCCGAAGGTCTTGCTTTTGGTTCATTACTTCTTGAAGGAAAACATATCCGTTTATCTGGTCAAGATGTAGAGCGTGGCACTTTCTCACAACGTCATTCTGTTCTTCATGACCAAGAAAATGAAACTCAATACACACCATTAAACCATCTACGGCATGGCCAAGCTCAATTTGTTGTGTGCAATTCTTCCTTGTCAGAATTTGGTGCTCTTGGTTTTGAACTTGGATACTCTCTTGTAAATCCAAATTCTCTTATATTGTGGGAAGGTCAATTTGGTGACTTTGCCAATAATGCACAATGCATTATTGATCAGTTTATCGCATGTGGCGAAAAGAAATGGCTTCAACGTACTGGGATGGTATGCTTACTACCTCATGGTTATGATGGACAAGGTCCTGAACATTCAAGCGCACGTATTGAACGATTCCTTCAACTTTGCGATGATCATCCATATATTTATCCTACTCCAGAAAAAATGGCACGTCAACATCAAGACTGTAATATGCAAGTAGTATATTGTACAACACCGGCAAATTATTTCCACGTTTTGCGAAGACAAATTTATCGTGATTTCAGAAAGCCAGTAAGAAATTTATATACCATTTTCACTTAGAGACTTTGCCATTCTATTATTCAGTAAAATTTTATTTTATAATTTTTTTTACAGCTTATAGTTTTCACATCAAAGAACCTTCTTAGGCATCCTATGGCTCGTTCTAAACTTGATGAAATGATTGGTGAAACCTATTTCTCACGATATATACCAGATCCACATCCGGATACACTCGCTGCACCAGAAAAGATCACTCGTCATGTCTTATGTTCTGGCCAAGTATATTATGCTCTTTTAAAAGCTCGTGAACAAAACAAGATGGATCATGTGGCAATCTCCAGAATTGAGCAACTGAGTCCATTCCCATATGACCTTTTAGCAAAACATGTTGACAAGTACCCAAATGCACAACTTGTGTGGGCTCAAGAAGAGCCTTTGAATTCGGGTGCATGGAATTATGTAGCGCCTAGAATTCGTACTCTTATGAATAGCACTGAACATAATAAAGGTTTATAATTATTTAGCATTATCGTCATTTTAAAATACACAACTGTTAACATTAAAATTTAATTGATTTGAACATAGGCAAATCATCTCAACCGGCAACTCGTTTACCGTCAGCTTCTCCTGCAACAGGGAACAAAAAACAACACACCCACGAAGAACATGATTTATTATCCCAGGCGCTTATTGGAGAAATCTTAAAACCAAAAAATGTTGTTTCTGGAGTCCCAGTTTGGACATAATAAATTGGATTTTTTTTTTTTTTTTTAACGTTATGATTAAGATAATCAAGTCATAATTTAAAATTTATTTGAGATTTTTATTGCCTCTAAGAAATAAAATGTACTGACATTTCCATACCCTGTAATTTATGTAAATCACATTATTTACATTATTTTTTCATAAATTGTTCAAAGATATCTTGGTAATTATCCAGCAAAATTTAGTGAAAATTTTTTTATTTAAATTCTTTATATCGTAAAATTTAAATAAAATAATTTTACTGAATTTTTTGTATAATGTAAATAAAAAAATTGGTTTGATATTAATATTTTTTTTCATTTTCTAAGGTGGCTACTATGGCTAGTATTTTATTAATAATGATTATTTCAAGTATGTTGTTTTACAAGTAATGAAATAATATATACAACTTTAGATATCTAAAATAGTTCCCTGAAAGTTTTATATTATCTACTTGATTATTTATTTAAACTAGTGATTGTACCCGGATTGGTCATATTGGGTGTAGTATTGTTAGCTATACCGATACCGTATTTGCAAGTAATAACGCGCAGGGGCGTTATTTTGAGCCACGGCCCGAGTTAAGCTTAATTTAGGCCAAATTCAAAACTATACCCTGCGCGTTATTACGCACAAATACGGTATGTCCGAAAATAAGCTATTACCAAAAATATGCTACCTCTAATTTTTTTAAAAAATCTTAAAAAATCATCTGCAGTTGCTATATATAAAAGCCAAATTTACTAAGACAATCGATTTTGTCAGCACCTTAAATTACACCTATCGCAGTATTATGTGATATTCAACCAATCAATTATAAAATTTGATAAACATCAGTAAACCAAAAAAAAGAGCAAAAAAATCTAAAAAATAAAAAAATCGTAGTTTAAATTGTCTAATATATAGTAGTGTTTGTAGTCGACCATTATTTAAAAATCGGCTTAGCCGGCTAAGTCAGAGTCGATTATTTGAAGTTCTATTTGATTAAACTTCGTAAGTTATCGGAGATTTCTCAAATTTTTTGTCTCGACCTTGCTCGTATTTTATGTTCGTTGATTTTCTTTTCGGAAATTTTCAGCTTCTAGTATAAACTGGTCTAAATTTTAATATAACATATATATATATAAATATATATAACCTATTGTAGTCGGCTAAGCCGATTTTTTGAAAAATCAGCTGACTAAGTCGGCTAAGCCGATTTTATCAACAGGAGGAAACGTTCAAATATAGATATGATTTTCATTCTCCGTTACACAGATCACTCATTGTACCGACCAATCAAAATATCACTACGGGATTAGTCAACCAATCAAATTGCGAAATTTACAAAAAGACAAAGCCATGGGATTCAAGGGGATTCAATGTTGTAAAGCAAAGTGAGTGCTTCATGTTTGTTTAATTATTTTCAATATTCGGATCTTATTTAGAATATATAAATATTATAAGGTTATTTAATATAAAAAAACTTTAACCCTAACCCAAAGCTAACTATAAACAATACTACTGTATAACTCTCACCCTAACTCTAACTATTCTTAAATCTGTTTAGATTAGTTCAAATAATTATTTTTATATTAAATAATTTTATAATATTTATATATTCCCACCTATACT